CATACTAACTAAACCAACAACAATTCCACTTACACTACTACATACAGTAATGATATAAAAAATCTACATACTAACTAAACCAACTAACAAATTCACTTATACTATTGCATACAGTATGATATAAAAAATCACATACTAACTACACCAACAACAATTCACTTACACTATTGCATACAGTATGATATAAAAAATCACATACTAACTACACCAACAACAATCCACTTACACTACTACATACAGTATGATATAAAAAATCACATACTAACTACACCAACAACAATTCACTTATACGACTGCATACAGTATGATACTAAAATCACATATTAACTAAACGAACAGCAATGTTTGTACAATACTAGGCATAGTATGATACTAAAGTCAGATACTAACCAAACACACAGCAATCCACTTACAATACTAGACATAGTATGATACAAACATCACATACAAACTAAACCAACAGCAACCCACCCACACTATTGGATACAGTATGATATTAAAATCATATAATAACTAAACCAATAGCAATCCACATACACTGTTGGATACATACAGTAAGATACTAAAACCACATACTAATTATACCAACAGCAACCCACCTACATTATTAGATATAGTATGATACTAAAACCACATACTAACTAAATCAACAGCTACCCTCCTACATTATTAGATATAGTATGATACTTAATTCACATATCAACTAAACCAACAGCTACCCACCTACACTGCTGGATACATACAGTAAGATACTAAAACCACAGAGTAACTATACCAACAGCTACCCACCTACACTATTGGATACAGTATGATACTAAAATCAGATACTAACTAAACCAACAACAACCTACCTATACTACTGGGTACAGTATAATACAAGAATCACATAATAAAAATTTGCTAAATTTTAACAAGTGTTATGTTTATTTATTTTATTTTTTTTAGAGAAATTTACAAACGTAAAAGTTTCCAAAATAAATAATAAATTGATAGTTTTAAAAACTATTTTCAAAATGATATATTCTATTTTTATTAACATTTTAATATTTAATTCTTGTTTTCATTTTCTGAACTGTTAGACATTCCCTAAATGTACTTATCTGCACAATTTCACTTATAATTTGACCAACGTTAACATTACAGGTTATTTCAGACTTGCACCACAGTTTCACTTATAATTTGAACAACGTTGACATGACAGGTTACTTCAGACTTGCACCACAGTTTCACTTATAATTTGAACAACGTTGACATGACAGGTTACTTCAGACTTGCACCACAGTTTCACTTATAATTTGAACAACGTTGACATGACAGGTTATTTCAGACTTGCACCACAGTTTCACTGATAATTTGACCAACGTTGACAGGTTATTTCAGACTTGAACCACAGTTTCACTGATAATTTGACCAACGTTGACATATTATTTCAGACTTGCACCAGGAGTTTCAGTTTAATTTTTTTTATACATTCATCTCAGTAGTAAATATATAAGAATAAACTTTCACCCCTGAACTCTTTATTTCAGCCCCCATCCTAGAGTTAAATGTCTAAACAGATCATGGCATCTTAATATTAGTGAAGAAGGACACCTATTTTAGCCTTTTACGTCAAAATCGTATTGATGACCAAGATTAGAAAGTTTTTCTTGTATACCCTACTTCTCTGAAATGGACAGTTTACTTCGTGTTCCATTAAATAACTCAATTTACAGTCATTTTAATGTATTGGTTAAAAAAGTCCTACTCGTACATTTATGAGGAAAATATACTTTAGAAAACATATATATAGTTCTAAAAAACTAAGTAAGTTTCTCTGCCAACAGTTGTTCAAAACTATGTGGATTATAGACAGATAATAAATACATTAATTAATGACAAAACCACTGACAAAGTTACTCATAAAAATTATGATAACACATGAAATCATGTGTGAAAATTTACATCATCAACATGCACTAAATTCAAATTTATTAAAAATACATACAGATCACTATCCAGGAAATCTAGACCCTTGTGACGGTCACCCAATCGCTTTTTCCTCATAGCATCAAGTGCCGGAGTCACATGAGAAGTGGGGGCATTATAGTGAACATTTACGTAAGGGCTGTGTTTTCTCTGAGGCTTCTCTGATGCATTGAATAAATTACCAAATCTGTAAAATTCCATATCAATAACTATCAAACAACATGGAGTAAAAATTATAATCTTAAAAAGTTTGTAAATGGAGTAAGATGAGAGGAATGTTTGTTTATAAATAGCTATTTAATAATAATAATAAACCATTTAAAATTTTGAATATGTCCTACAAATTATGTTATACCAATACATTACTCATAACATATAGAAATATATTATTTAACAATGATTTACTATGTTTCTATTACAAGTGTGAAATATCAGCTCTTCAGGCAAGAGACAACTGTCAAAAGTTAATACAATTAGATACAGTTAGACAGGTTGAAAACGAGGTAGGTCAAACAGAAAAGAAACCCACGTAAAGATAAAACTATCAATTCTTACATGACAGAAATGTCTTGACAAGAAGAAGAAGGAAATAAGTTGTAGTAAGAATACTTCTGAGTTTCCTGACTCTTGCTGGAGAGTAGGGTGTAGCAGCATTTGGGGAAAAAAAAAGACATTAAAACATGGAATTAATGGATATAATTATACTGCTCTACAAGGTTCTCTACCTAGATCATCAGATGAGATTCCTGTGATCACTAGTAACAGCTATACTAAAAACCAGAACCAGCCAGTGAAGATCAGAGGAAAGAAAAGCCGCATTAAGCAACATGACAAAAAAGAGAAGTAGTACAAAAGAGGATAAAGGAGCTAATTCATACTAAGTATGTCAAACTCCTTGAATTCTATCAATTAATCAATGTCACAAGTAACAAACAAGACCTTTAAGAATCAATCTACTACCAGCTGAATGACTAGTATTGTTAAAATATCACCAATAAAAAGTAACACCTTTTCAGTTTGCACTTATTTTAGTAAAAATACTTGATTGTAATTCTCACAACTTCCAAATAGAAGATTTGTTCTTTCTGTTGCTCTCAGCTGGTTCACTCTTGGATGCTCTGATCATTCCCGTCCATCTAACAGCCTCTTGTAGTTCCATCAGTCTCTCCTTGTATTGGTTGCGTTCCATCAATACTCTAGCCATCTCGACTCGGGTGAAACGCTTCCTTTGTGCCATAGGCACATCCTCCTAAAAATAAATTAACTTAACATCAATACTCTCCCTGTTAAGGAATTTATTATCCAAATATTATCTGATGCTCTTTAAAAATAAAACTTTTGAAACATAGAAATACCAATTTGATTCTGCCTCATGTTAATCTGATGGCACATGCTACAAAATAAACTTGCTAAAGATATTTTAAAACTCAAGAAATGATACAAGATAAAAATCTTGAGAACAATAGTAACTTTCATTTGCATTGAAATAAAAAGTAACTTTTTCTATGTGCATTTATAACTTTAATAATAAATCCTAACATGTAACTTCACAATAAAAGCAATAAAAAGTAATACCTTTCCTATGTATGTATATATACATTATAACAATAAAACTGAACTTGTAACAAAAGTTAACCTTATCTCAAGGCTGTACAATATGAGATTTCTGATTAGCTTCCACAAGTAGGAATTTGGCAACATTTTGTAACAGTGAACCTATATACAGACAGAACTGTCACAGTCTCCACAGCCATAATGCACAGGTAGAGGAACCACAACAAGAAGTCTTTGAATAGTCAAATCAATGACAGTTGAAACATCATAGCAGATTGGAAACATATAGTCATAAAGAATAATTTAAATATCCTGTCTTGATATTAGCAAGGAGCAGTGAGAATAAGAAATTCTGAATGAGAAACCATGTATGTTTACACTTATAACTTTTACTAATAGATATCCATAAGGCAGCTACGATACTTTGGTCATACATGTCTAGAGCAATTTGTTGCACCAAGATAATAAGAAGATTGACTACAGCCATTACTTCCTTGGAGGAAATCAGGGGGAGATCACAATGGGAATGCTCCTAAGTGATTAGGATGCCATAAGGAGCTCAATGACTTAAGCTAAGATGTTTCAAAGAGAGCATCTTCTGATCGTACTTCCTTAAGGTGATGCAGTAAGCCTCTCTTAGCCTTTTTGGATAAATAATGGCAACATCTTACCCAAAACCCTGTCTGACAATAAGCATAAAATGATAAAACACAGCATATGTGGTGTAGACAAAGAAGCAGGGTCATAAGTTTGACATCTCTTTAATGTCTTCTTCATAAGTTTAGGATTTAAAGATATCATCCACATACCTTCCAGTAATATAACAGTTAAAAGACTGTGGAAAGTCCTTCAACCATAGTTTAAAAAAAAAAAAAAAAGAACTAGCTAAAAAAGGGGGCTTTCAGCTACAGCATCAATTTGATCAGAATGCTTAACATTGTTTCAAAATTCATTACCTTCAGAAATACAGATTTTGGAATACGTAAATCATTTGGCTTGTCATTAAAATTAAATCCACACTTATCTGCGTTGTTTATTCCAAAGGGATGTTGATATTCAAGAACTTTATATTAAAAACAAGCTGAGTTACCCATCCTTTGTCTGGGTTATAAACTTAAAAAAATGCCTCATCAAAAGTTTTGTATAAGCTTTAAAAACTCAATATGTATATAATTAAAATATGGTTTACACTGTGTGATGATCAGGGTGACTTTGTAGGAAGAGGTAGCTGCCAAAGTAGTGGCAGTAGGGGCGCTTTCTGTTACCCACTTTTACAAACATTATTCCACAAACATTAACCCTAATATTACTAAAAGATTATTACACAAACATTAACCCTAACATTACTAAAAGATTATTCCACAAACATTAACCCTAATATTACTAAAAGATTATTACACAAACATTAACCCTAACATTACTAAAAGATTATTCCACAAACATTAACCCTAATATTACTAAAAGATTATTACACAAACATTGACCCTAACATTACTAAAAGATTATTACACAAACATTGACTCTAACATTACTAAAAAGATTATTCCACAAACATTAACTCTAATATTACTAAAAAAATTATTACACAAACA